CTGGTACTTGTTGGTGGAGTTGAAAGGTATCTCTGCAATCTTGGCGTACTGCTCCCTCATCTCCTTCACCGAACCGCAGCACACCTCAATGCACTTCAGGAGGGCTGACTCAGAGGCATCTCCGGCAACTGCCCGCTGTGAACAGAGACATCTGTTAAATACCCTACAGAAGCTTCGCTGAGCAGGCATCACTGAAAAAGAGCAAGAATTTAGGAGGAGGAAGGAGGAGTCACATTAGCCCCCACAGTCTCTCCCTGCCAGCCTCCAGCCTTAATTCAGTACCTAGCAGAAGGGTGGATGAAGGGGTCACCTACCCAGGAGAACACACCCTTCTACACACAACCTGTCTGCCTACTCACAGTCTCAAAGCTTTAACACTTTGAGAAATTCTCAACCACATATTTCAGGTTATGAATTTGAAAACATCAAGTGAGAAAGGTAAACATAGAGTGCCTTTCATTGCCCAGCAACTCAAATGAAGAAGCCTTAAGTTCTCAGGACTGGAGGCAAACTGTCTGTGTCAAGGACAAAGTAAAGGACTTTCTATTCCAAACATAACTCAATTGTGTACAACTATCTTGGGCCAGAAGGATGTGACTGGAAAGTTACTACTGGTTCCAACAATAATTTCAGTTAAACTGCAGGTAAGACACATTATTTTGTGCTACACTTACCCGTAATACTGCATAAATAAATTGAGCACATTAAAGCTCCCTAACAGAGCAGCCCTGCCTGATCAGAAAGGTAAAAACACTCACTGTGAGATAAAATCTTTTTAACCATTAAAGTAGAATAAACCTATAGGCCATTTTATCTGTAATACTGCCACCGATATGGCCCAATCTCTGACATTTAATGAGTAAATTTCCACTGAAGGAAAAAACAGAGCAGGCATTTCCAGTTCTATCCCAAGATAAAATCCCATCATCCTCAAAACAGCAATTCAATGACAATTCAAGAAAAATTAAGGAAAAGAACCCTATTCTCCACAGTAAAAAGCCATCTCAATACAAAGTCCTATTTTCCCTAGAACTTTCTCTACATCCAGAACTTCTGCAGACGGTTTCACTCAGAAAAGCAAGGGAGTCAGGCGTCTCTCACTGAGCTTCCTCCTTCTGAAGGACCTGGTGCGCCTCATGACCCCTCTGTGACTGGTCTTCACTTAAGCAACAGTAAAACCTCTATTTCAAAATTCATGAGAATTCCAAGAGGCTCAGCTTATTTGTGCCTTATGAGTTTATTCCTGCATCATTAGTAAGCAAGCGAAGGACAAATAAGAGAAACAGCTGAGCTATTTTAAGACAATAAATGGCTTAAAGGATTTACTGGAATCTACTCTACGCTAATATGCAAATATAATTATCAAGTCACTAAAGGAGCTCTCACTGTCGGCAAGGTCATAAAACAAAAGCTCATAAAATCAGCTGCCGTCAGTTCCAACTCCTCGTGCCCCATGCATGTCAGAGCAGAACTGTGCTCCATGGGGTGATCAATGTCTGAACTATCCCAAGGACACTGGCAGGCCTTTTTCCCCAATGCTTCCGGGTAAACTTTTTTTAACCCCAAGGATGCTATGTCTTTTCTTACTGTAACTTCATCCAACCTATACAGACCCAAGGGTCTTAATGTACAGACACTATTACTGAAGTGATACATTATTAGTGATTAACAATTAACAGACATTTTACAATCCACACACCACAAGCACTAACAGAACTCCTGAACGTACCTTGAGAATAGGTAGATTTTCCTGATTAGCCTGGAACACTGCCCTGTTACAAAGACCTGCAATTCTCGACAGAGCAACCCAGGTCGCTGATGTCTTATCGAATGAGACACCTGAGAGAAGAGAAAGAGAAGACAGTGCATGAAATTTAAATGCCAATTTTCTACTTTAAAATACACTAGCAAAATATATACCAGCAAAAATATTTCATTTGCTTTGAAATAATGCTTTTAAAACAACAATCTACAATGGGATCAAAATGATCATATTTTTCAATTCAAGGACAAATTAATCTACTGACATACGGGGGTGAGAGGAGGGAGTAAAACAAATATCCTTCACTCTCTGCCAAATGATAAAAGTAAAAATTAGCTTAAAGGATATTTGTCAATACATTAAGGCAACCTGAGCAGACAAGCAGGTAAGGCAGGCAGGGGTGGGGGGGAGGTGGGGGCTCTGGTCTTACCACTCTGGTTCTCTGTAGTATCAGCTTCATGGATCTGATTGTCAAACCACATGTGAGCAACAGTCATCCGGTTCTGAGTCAAGGTTCCAGTTTTGTCAGAACAGATGGTAGATGTGGACCCCAAGGTCTCCACAGCTTCCAAGTTCTTCACCAGGCAGTTTTTCCTTGCCATGCGCTTGGCAGTAAGCGTCAGACACACCTACAAAATGTCAGAACGGCTCCTTCATACCCCACCAGGCTGGAGTTGTAAAGCCCTGCCGTACGCTAATGTGGAAGAAATCTAGCTACATCCTTCCCAAACTTTGTCCAAAGTCCTTGATAATAATGCTAAAATATACTCAGGGCATACTTCTGTGTTACTACTCCTTTTAAAGATATGCTGCCCTTTTCTCTGTCCACAGAGGATAAACTGTGTGAGTAACAAAGCCCGAAAATCCTCTAGAAGAGGGCAGATGGGTGATCATTCTCTTCCCCAAGCCTCTTACCGTGACAGTGGCCAGCAAGCCTTCTGGCACATTAGCTACAATGATGCCGATGAGGAAAATGACAGCCTCAAGCCAAGTGTACTCCAGGATCAGAGAGAGGATGAAGAAAGACACGCCAAGGAACACAGCCACACCCGTGATGATGTGGATGAAATGCTCGATTTCTGCAGCAATAGGAGTCTGACCACCTTGTAGTCCAGAAGCAAGTGTGGCAATTCGTCCCATCACAGTGCGATCCCCAGTGTATACAACAATACCACGTGCTGTGCCTTTAAAAAGGAACCGAGAATGGGACCAAATGTAACGGGGCAGAAACCACAGAATCTGCACAACTGCCATGGCATGCACAAATGTACAAATGCCAATGGCATGGTTTAAGAAAAGGCTCTTGCGTCAGAGGTCAGAGCAGAGCAGACGAGGCACTGCTGACAACACAGGCCCACCAGAAGTGCAGGAAAGAGCAAACCCAGCTACCAGGCTTCCTGGGCTTCCCTGCCAGAGAGTGAACCACCACTCTGCTTTACTGCAGAGTCGTGTCTATGGTTTCTTTATGTTTTTGGTTTTTTTATAACACCTTACAGACAGCATGCCAAGGAAAAAATGGTTTACCTTCAACACAGTTGGTTGAAAAAAAGGCAATGTTCCTTGTCTCCAGAGGGTTCTCATTTGTGAAATCCGGAGACCTGGTCTGAGGCTCGGATTCTCCAGTGAGCGAGGAGTTATCCACCTGTATGCAAGAAAATTGCATACGTGAATGAGTGAATGAGTACACCAGATGTGCATGTTGCCGCAAACAACGGGGGGAAAATGTGTTTCTAAGCACGGTCTAAGTGTGCGTCAATGTGTTAAATGCATCTACCTTGCAGCCGTTCGCAGAAATGATTCTCAAATCTGCAGGGATTCTGTCTCCACCTTTCACTTCCACCAGATCCCCAACAACAACTTCTTCGGCGTTGATGCTCATTTTTTCACCATTTCGAATCACGAGAGCTTGCTGGAGAAAGAGAAAATGGTTTACCATTAAAACAGGATGGTGCGGGGGGTAAAGATTCCAACAGTTGTGCCAAATTATCTAAAAATGTAAAAGATATTGCTCATCATTTGAACTAGGCAAGTTATAAAGTACAAATAGGAGTTTGTGATTGAACAGTCCCTGCTCCTAGTAATGGATCTATGAATGGGGCTGGGGGGGGGTGGGGTGAAATAGAGGCACCTATTTCAGATACTATTTATTCAGTCATTCAGACTCACTTTACTAGGGCTGTTATGTCACCACAGGGGTTAGCAACAAAGCATTTGGTACCTGAGGAACCATGTTTTTGAAGGATTCCATGATCTTCGAACTTTTCGCTTCTTGATAGTAGGAGAAACAACCCGTGATGATGACAACAGCTGACAGCACCACACCAAGATAGAGCTGGAAGGGGACAAACCAGTTAGGATGCGGTAGTAAAAAAACCAGGGACATGGTTAATTTGACTGAATAAAAAGCAAATAAGAGAGACTGAGACTTCAGAAAGCCAGAACCCATCTTACAAGACTCATATATACAGGAAGGTCAGAGATGTAACCAGTCACATTTGAAGAGTTTTTGAATGTTGTAGAAACTGTTTTATTAAAATAAAGTTGTCTTCCCAACATGTGACTGAAGCACAGCAACCAAGCACCATCTCATTAAAAGCTGGGCTCCGCATTATGCTAAGTGAACTAACTCAGTCCCATAAGGCCAAATACTGTGAATAAAACTAGTAAAACGTGTATGAGGATCTAAAGGGAGTAGGAGGTAAGCACAGACAACAGGCCAGGACTGGACTGGCCTGTAGGCACATCTACATGCAGACACAGGAAAGACACAGGGGCTGTGAAGGCAGTAACTGCTGACACTTTCCCAGTAAATCCATCAAGTGAAACTAGTGGTAACTGAAAACCAGTGGGAAGAGTGAGCAGAACCATGTAACTTACATTATCATTACTAGGGTCCTCTTCTGTGGCAGCTACAATGCCGTAAGCCAAGAAGCAAAGAACTGCTCCAATCCACAGCAACATTGAGAACCCCCCAAACAGCTGCCGACAGAATTTGACCCATTCAGGAGTAGTGGGAGGAGGGGTGAGGGCATTGGGACCATCTCGGGCCAGGATCTCTGCAGCTCGAGCAGGTGTTAAACCCTGAAAAGCAGAGAACAGTCATTAGACACACTGTACACAAGCACTTGTAATCTAATATGCCCCCATGATGGCTAGAAAGCTGCAATGAGGTGGTCTGAGGAGGAAACCCTTTTTCAAGCTACAGAGCCAAGGTAAACTCAGTAAATTCCTCCAAAAGCAGTTCTGATAATGATCCCCCACTACCAAAATAGAGGCAAACAAGGCCAAGTTTTCTGAGGAATACACACAGAGAGAAAATTTTTTAAAAAAGAATCAGTTTAAATCCAATCTAATGTCTACCAAGCTATCCATGTCAAATTGCACAGGAACTTTATAATATAAATATAAAGGAGATAATGAACAAGAGAAATAGTGAGAATAGCTGTGCAATTCAAAGAATATAATCAATGTCCGGAATCATACGCAGAAAAACTGTTCGTTCTCAACAACAAAGTCAGTTTGAGTATAGCACTCAAGTTTGCTGGTAGGTGTATTTTGCATGTATAATTTTCAATACTGAATAATCTTATGGGCCAAGGGAGGGGGGACTAAGTAGGAACAATGAATTATTCAGGACCTTCCATCAATTCAGGTTCCTGTTGAAAACCTTGGGTCAAATACAAACCACCGCCATGAAACATGTGCGCATGACCACAAGCCAGGCACTGAATTAAGAGCCTTAACTAGTTCTCATGACATTTTCACTCCGTTCTATCACAAGTAAAAAAACTACTTCATAGAGAACCTACTTCATAGAATTCTAATAAAAACTTAGTGATGTAATGCATGTAAAGTGGTAAGAGCCTTCAGAGGCTTAACGAGTAACTGTTAGCTCATTCTTGGGAGAGTCAATGCCTCCTCTCTGCAGGATATATATATGCGAGTCCAGCCCCTGGCACCCTCCTGCTACCATATGACAGCTATGCATCAGCTTTTCATTCAAGGGTTAGTGAGTGGGCAGAAATACCAAACCCATCTCTCCCAGAAGCAAATTTAGTATCAAAAGCCTCTCGATAATAACTGTCACATTTTCTCATTAAACAGTTTTTTTAATTTTGTGCAAAACAAATTCTAGAATCGTCAGTGTTATTTGCTACCTGGGAGAAAAATCTGAAACCCAAGAAAGAGGCAGCTATCAGTTAGTTCTCATTCACTGACTGAGTTCTGTCTATTGCAAAAGCAAGAATAAAGCCTACTTCTGAAAAGCTAAGCGAAAACAAAATGGTAGCAGGTAAAGGCCCAAGCTCTGGGTTTGTCCTACAGAAGGCAAGAAGATGCTGGCTTTCATTATTTTCTTCCTAGACCCCATCTGTGAGAGACGAAGCGTGAGGTTTCTGTGAAAGTTTCAATTAAGAACATACTCGGCTCAAGTCTGTTCCATATTTGCGATGAAGCTCATCAAGGCTAAGTTTATGGTCATCCTAAGTGAGAACAAAAAGAGGAGAATTAAACAAGAGAAGCATCAATAGCATGCAATACTATTGCTAATGATCATTTTTTTATAAATTATCAAATCTCACATTCTTTATGCAGAAATTATGTGACCACATACATTAAGTCTAACCACAGAGAAGCCCAGAAATGCTCTGGTAAATCATCTGCCTTCTCTGAACACCAAGGTGGATTCTGGGCAGGCTAAATCAAAGTTCACCTCCACAATGCAGAGGGAATGGAAGCTCCCAGTGGTCAACTAGACAAGTGGGAAAAACAGGCCTGTTTCCCACTATCAACCATAGTTTTCTCTGTGGGTTTTTGGTTATGGACAAAACTGCTGAATAACTTGAGTTCTCCAGCAGAGTATCTGGTGGATTTGAACCGTGCACCTCTGGGATTGCAGTACACCTTCTTGCCACTAGGCCAGAGCTCACCGGGCTCTTTCCTTAAAGCAAGTCTAATTTTTTTTCCCTTTAGAGGATACAAAAAAGCAGCCTCTTTCACCTAGTACATACCATAGATACTTCTTTCTTCAACTCATCCATATCCCTCTCTTTCTTGGCCTTTTTGTCACCATGTTCTGAAACGGCTGCAGGTTCATATTTATCGCGTCCCATCTACAACAGAATGTGAGAGTGTGACTAAAATTACGTACAGCATCTCCAAAAAGATTTGAGCAAGGGATTTACTTAGGACAGCCATAGGATACAAAGATGGATATTTTTTAAATAAAATTTTTCCTTTATACTGTTTGAATACATTGTTTTCCACACAGGATCTTTCCCATTTCCTTTACCCACTCTTTCATGTATCCATGAAATTGTGCAACCCTATGATTCCCTTCCCCCGCCCCAATCTCACCCCTCTGCTCTGACCCTCACCACCTTGGAAATAGCAACTTTCAAAACCTTTAGTACTCAATTCAGATGATATCAAAGAGAAAAAGGAATAGATGTTCAGTCATGAACTGTTCCAGTTTCAAGTAAATACAATAGCCATGGACCAACACTCCAAAGAGAAATTCTGCTCAAAATCAGTTTTCAACTGTGATGTCTGCAGTATTACTTACAATGAGTCATGTTCTTTAGTTTCTATGTTATCTACAAAGAATAAGCAGGTCTAAAGATAGTCAACATTGCTGACATTCCATTATAGAGCAACTACATTTGGAAGAGCCTCTCTGCACACAGTCCTTGGTGACAGACTTAAAATGGAAAAAGCTCACATACACTAAAAGCAAAGATACACTAAAAGACAGGGTTCCTGTGAGGAAGGATTCAACTGTCCAAAGTGGTACTTCCCTCATATGTTCAGGGAAGCAAAACATATGACACTGGCTAAGTTAAAGACAGTGGCTAAGATTAAGGTGGCCAGTCTGTAAATTATCTTGAAGCAATTTATTTACTTTATTTTAAAGTATTTTAAAAAACCAGTTTAAAACCTCACCATCTGTATGCTTTGATTATTCTGGTACTTCAGTAGATGGGAGAAAATTAGTGAATCTGCCCAAAATTCTATCCCCATTTCCAAAATAACTATCTTGCCTACATAGTTATTAATGGCAGTTATTTGGAGAATCTAATTTCCTAGTAACTCTTCATCTTTCTTTCTTCATCAATTCCAGCTATTTTAAGCGTTGTTTTAAAGGAGGTCATTATGGACATGGAAAGTATTAAAAAACTAATTGCTGTCTAGTTAGAAATACAGCTGATTCTGAGGCTGTATATAACAGGGAATGGACTACCTATCTTTCTCCCTTGGAGCAGCTATTGGGGTGTAAAATTTCTTTTTCTTCAAAGCTGTGTATTTCATTAGTCAATGTCTGACTAATATTTCATTAGTCAAAGGGAGCAAGAGGGGAGTTAAAACCCACTGCTGCCTCTCTTGCAGGCTGTAGAACAGAAGGTGACTGCCTCATCTTGCAATGCAAAATGATATGGATATGGAGTTTCACAATGGGCACCACAACAAGATAAAGGTAAATAATCCAGTTGAAATGGGCACAGGATATGGACAACAAGCACATGAAGAATGTTCAAAATCCCTAGCTCTGAGAGACAGCTATGAGATCTCACACCAGTCAAAAACATAGCAAAAATAACAGAATAGCAAGCAACAAATGCTTGTGGAGAAACTGGAACCCTTATTCACTGTTGGGGAAGTGTAAACTGTGCAACCACTGTGGAAGGCAGTGTTGCGCTTTCTCAAAAAGTTGCAAATTGAGATACCATTTGACCCAGCAATTCCACCACTGGGAATATACCCCAAAGAGACCATAACTGACATCCTAGCAGATATATGCACACCCATGTATATCACGGCTTCACAGTAGCAAGGAGTTGGTCAGTCAAACTGGTGTGCTGAATGAAGCCTGGAGTGAGAAGTGTCAGGTCTAGAGGGTAAAGTCTTCACAAGAACTGTGGAACTGGAAAGCCGACCAACACAAAACAGGATTTAAACAGATATTTTGTATCTGTTTCATTGTAAACACTGTACAATAAACCAGAAAATGGAGTCTATTGGACAAAAACTGGCTCAATATCCAAAATGAAGACCAAATGAGAACCTCTTTTCTCACTGACAAAATTTGCTCAAACATCAGTCACTTAAGGGTGAAGAATTTGTGGATTTCTGACAACAGATTTCAGCACAGGAATGAGGTGAGTCATATGCAAAGAACAGTCTCTGTAACTCTAGCCAAGGAACACACTTCCTCTCATCCACTCAAATTCACGGCAACGTGAGAAAGTTCAAACCTGGGTTGGTTATGTTTCCTTTCCAAAGAAAATATATATCAATTAAGAAGAGTTTGGGGGGGGGGGAAGTATCAGTGGATTTTGAAGTTCTCTTTGCTTCTCATTATCACTTAGTGGACATGTGTTTTTCAGCGTAATCTAGAACTGGACAGCTCTGGCTGGGGAGACATTCTGCCCAGTGTTTTGCTGTCCAAATGCAGCCGCTCTGATTACTGTGAGCCCATCTGATCTGACACTCGTGTTTCTTCTTCTGGCCCGTTGGCTGGCAGGGAGCCCTGCGGAACTAGAAGGCACAAATGTCCAGAGCTCCTCCCATCACAGAGCAAAATTGGTTTTTTTCACTTTCAAAAGACCTTAGCAATGACTTTAAAAAACCTATAAAAACAACTATCATGAAGTTCTCTCCTTGAAAAGCGAAAGGAGACAAGCTTTATAGCTTTATGATGCAATTAAACAGATGTTGTTGAGCAAAGATGACAGTAACATCAACTGGCACTTCCACTTTTCTTCTTTGGAAAAGAAATGTATTTCCCATTATTTTCAATCTTTAATATGTTTTTGGAATGAAAGAAAATTAAGGAATTATTAAAATTTCAAAATTTTATCTTTCTCCCCAATTACATTCTAAACCCCAACAATAACTATAATTTGTACTTGTACTGCACTTGTTAAATTCGTCCCTTTTTATTTTGGGAATAAACACTACCAGATTTTTGATGGCTCTTATCCTCCCCTTATACCCTGTGGGGTTTAACTCTAAATCTTACTCAGATTTATGATGCAGGCCTCCCCTTTTCCCATCCTCCTACCAAAAAGTGAGTCACTATAGAGTTACTATAAACAAACAAAGGGGATACACCCTCAGAAGAGGGTACAAAAAAGGAACTGAACAACTAAACTGAACAACTAACAGCCAAAGGGTGTGATGTAAACTATTCTTTACTCTTCCGAATGTTCCTCCAGTAACATTCCACTTGCTCTTGGCTAGTCCTTGGGCAACTAGCCACAGGGGGCTTTACAAGGTTCTGAGTCTAAAGTACTAGTTTTATAGCAGCCAGGTTATTTAGTCACACTTTCAAGTTGAGCTCCCAAAGGGCATCTGATAATGTTACCATACAGCTTTCTGCTGACATGTGTATCTCTTGCGAAACCTTCACCTGAACCTTTTCTTCCACCCCCACCCTCATCCCTTTTTAAATTGCTACCTTCAAGCTAGTGTACTAAGTTAATATTCAAACTGACTAATATTCAATCTGGCGACGCCTCCCTCCTTTTATAAACTTGAGAAAAAAGTTTCTTTCACCTCTACACAGTTCTAGTGTGTACCTTTAGCGAGCTAAGTAGTTGTGGGTGGTGAGCTAGTAGTGGTGAGTAGTTGTGGGAGCTAAGGTAAGGGTTCTGCCAAGTCATGGGCAAAATCAGAGAAGTGGGAAGTGACGAAGACAAAATCCTATTTCACTCAAGAGTGATTCAGCAAGTGCTGTTCTTTCATTTTTCTTCTTAAAAGCGTAAGAGACTATATTCTTAAGGAGATAGAAAATGATCTGAAATACTATCAAAACCTAGGCCCCAAACAAAAGTGGGAAGGGGAGGGGAAAAAAATTAAGATGACCTTTAATAAAAAAAATAGCTGCTGGGGCAGGCTTCCTGGTTAACCAATTATCAGCAGGGCTTTGGTCACTGCTCCACCCACATTTTAATCCCTCTGTGGAAAAATCCCAACATTTCAGCATAAAATACCCTTTCAAACATTTGAACTATCACAATAAGTCACTGGGGTCAAAAAGGACAACTTTTTACAGGAGAAAAATGATCAGCACCTACAAACAGCCTAGTGCTTCATTAATGTATAGCAGTATCCTCAGTCTAGCAGACAAGCTATACATCAGGTTAACTAGCTGAAATTTCTGTGTTCTGCGGAGTCACTAAACATGTAGTAAATACAAGGATCCGTAACACCTCGGGGTTGGCCCTCCATTAACTGCTCCCCAGGTGTGTTGCTATCATTACCACGACAGTGGTACCAAGTGGGTGGTTAAGAAATATTAAGTCTTCACAAATATTCCCCTTCAGCCAACACACAAAACTGCCCACTGTGCAATGCTAAGGAGTCAAAGTCGGCTCTGGAATCAGGGATGTCCAGTCTGGCACTAACCACCAACCATTTGACCTTGAGCAAGTCTCTCACCTTCCTAGGCCTCAGTCCATACCTGTCATTCTCCAGGACCCCCAGAACTGTTTCGTTCAAGGAATCAAAATATGTTTTAGGACTGCAGAAAGGAAAAACCTGTTTACAGGAACGATTTCAGCTTTGATGGTGCAGCAGTTTTCTAAATGGGCAGAATCTAATGGGACTTCATTCTCAATTCTCTGCCCTAAAGCTGCTTCAAGCTTGCCAGTACCCAACAAACACCTTGTGCTTTTTAATAAGCCAAGTTGTGCATCCCCTATTCTCCCTACCAGGGCCAAACCTTCCCAATGCCTCCTTGAAAACCTGTTTAGTATCTAGAGAATGCACTTTCCCCTGGTCCATCACTCTATTTAACAGAGGCGTCTCGAAGGACTGACCTTCGAAGACCTGCAGCTTGCCAGGCACAGTGCTAACCTCACGAGATCATACACGGGATTTTGAGCCAAGCCTTTCATGAAAGATCATGATTCAATCATTTCTAGCCCATAAATGGATACCTAAGTTTTCCTCATTAAGCATTGGCCAACCCAGCCGCTGCAGGAAAGCTTTTGCTACACCATTTCCACTGCGCTCCCGGCCACTCTCCTGCCCTGGATCCCTTCATGTGAATCGCTCTACAGTTAGTTGGCGCTGGAAACTGTTGCCAGTGGCAGCAGGCAGCTTCCAGTCCTCTCGCGGTTTATTGTACCCAGAGGCTGTAGTGGGTCAACCTGTTCTCCAAGGATCATCCTTCCAGAAAATGTACACACCCCTAGCCATTGTCAAGAGCTTCAGATGCTAACTCCAGTTGTTCTGGGCACATCCTGTGTTTATGGAAAGTGGCTCATTAAAGCTCTCGAAAGTATACCTTAAAGGCCATCTTAGGGCGTTGAGGACACACCCTTTCTGGCACCAGCCCGCTGGACCCGCTCCGCAGTAAGGGGAAGGCCAGTCTTTGGGGGAGGGTGGACGCCTCTGCGGGAAGCTGGCTAAGCCCAGGCGCCTCCAGAAGGAGCCTCGGCTGCCCTCGCCTCGGGAGGCCTGCCGGCGCCCAGCCCTCAGAGGGAACGGCCCGGAGGGGCCTCGACCCGCCTGGCGCCCGGCGGAGCACCCCAGGGGAAGGGGAGGAGCGCGTCTTTCCTCCTGGCGCGGAGGGCGGAGGGAAAAAGGAAGGAGAGGAGATGGGAGGTGAGGGCGGGCAGAGGGAGGGCCCACGGGCCCGGGGATGCCGCCGGCGGCCGGCTCCTTCCCGGGCAGCCCATCTGCTGCGCGCCCTCCTTCTCGCCCCGCTCCCTCCAGCGGCTCAGGGGACTCGGGGCCCGCGCTGCGCTCCAAGCCGGCGGCCCGCTGCCCCTCTCCGGGGTCCCTGGATCCCTAGGGGATCACTTGCACCCCTCGCAGCTCCGCTCGGGCCCCTCGGCGTCCCGCGCCCGCCCTCCCCCGTCATGCGCTCCCTCCATTTCCAAAGTGCGTGTCTCTTAAGCCTCGCTGCTCTGCCAACCTATTCCGCGCTGCGCCGCTTCCTCCTCCCCCACCCCGAGCCCCGGGCAGCAGCGCCTGACTCTCCTGACTTCCTCGTCTTCCTCCTTCGGCGCTCCCGGGCGCTCGCACACTCACCCCCTTCCCCATCGTGGCGGCCGTCTGTGGCCGGCGCCGGGTCCTGCTGCTTGGAAATCAGAAAGAAGAGCGGCTCCCGGCCGAGCTCGCGTAGCCGGGGTAGAGGAGAAGCCGGACGGCCGATGGCCCGGGCCGATGCCGCCGCTGGGGCTGCTACCGCTGCTGCTGCCACGTGTCCGTCTCCTCTAGCTGCCGCTAAGCTCCCAAGACCTCGCCGCAGCTCTGACTGATGCCTCCTCCTCACTTCCTAAAATACGAACCTGCATGCTGGCCCCGCCCACGCCGCTGTACGTCACTGTTACCGGAGCAACCTGACACTGGCCCGGGCCTGGCTCCACCCCCGCCGCACAAACCCAACTGGGGGGGGCGGTGACCGGTTGGGGCTCCCCGCTGGAGGCTGCAGCGCCCCGGCGCGCGGGGCAGCTTCCTGCGGAGCTGCGGCGGCGCGCGTGCAGGCAGTCGGGGGTGGTGGAGCTCCTGCGCCCCTCTTCTCGCTGCCCTGCATGACTAGCTCCGCCTTGCAGAGCACTCCGGATCTGCAGTGGTGCGGGGACGTTCTTGGAACTGAACTCCTTTATGTCTGCAGACTGGAGACAGAAACCACGCATGGGGTGGCATGTCAGGGAGTTCTCAGAGCCTAAAGGACACGCGGGGGGCCTCTAGTGTGACTGCTACCAGTGCTTGCCTGAAGGGTTACTCTGCCACCCTCAGAGGTTCATGCCTACCACCCACCTGCGCGTGGCCTGCCCAGTCTCCCGGTGCACTTACTGCTGTCCCCTCAGGCCCAGAATCCGATTTCTCCACCTCCTGCTAAATTCTGGGCGAATGGGGTCTTCAGTATTGGCTTGACCACAGATTCCAAGTGCTCTTCTACCCACTGAACAACCCCCCTTTCCCACACACACACATACACACGCACCCTTCTTTCTCCATCATCACCTCCAGATAACAACAGAGCTGCCCTGGGAATTCATTCATGCTACAGTGCCAATGAAACCTGCTTGTCCAGTTTAAGGATTTTTAGACAGGAAAGCTTGAAACCCAAGGAAATGTCTATCTTAAGTAACAGTTGTTGTGTACCGTTGAGTCAAACCGACCCATAGCTGACCCCCTCTAGTGAACTTTCAAAGACAGTAAATTCATGGGAGGGGATTGTCCAACCATCTCCCACCGAGGAGCTGGTGGATTCGAACTGTGTGTCTTTGGGATTGCAGCGCAGAGGTTGTCTCAGCAAAGGAAGACTTGAGGGCATTCGTGGTGCCTCTCCAGGTTTCTCACCTGGCACAGCAATGCCTCCCCGGTGCAAACTCCAGTGCCCTGGGGGGTCCAAGAATTCCCTGAGCGCTACCTTTTGGGGGTTGCTTCATCCTAACTTGAGCTTCTTAGAAGAGGCTGCAGTTGACAGTTATCCAGCATTTAAAGGGGAGGGGACCCTATACTACTAACAAAAATGCTTTTAGAAAGTTTGGTACAGCCTGGAAAAGCACAAGATTCTTAAGAGAAAGTCATTCTAAATCTATGAGAATAATACCTGTGAGAAACAAGGAAAATACTAACTTCCTAAGCAAGTTAAAGGTAGCTCTATTTACTTCAAGTGATAATTTTAACATGAACAAATGCAAATGTGAAACTTGAATGACATGAAGAAAGAAGAAAAAGAGAAGAAACTGCCAGTTGTGTTATTGGTTAGGTCATTAGAATAATTTCTATCTCTTTTGAGAAAAAACTTCCTGACAGGGATCTTCTATCTCTTGTTTAAAAAAAAAAAGCAATGCAATGCTGAGGACTAGCTTTCCCTCGAATGATCTGCACACTTGCCTACATCAGTCCAGATTCTGGAGAAAAGGACTGACTTCATAACCATCACCACTTAGAGAAAAAGTCCCCTGTCCAGAGAAAGTGCCTGATACTGCTCATTCAACAGAAGGTATTCCCAAGCTCTTTAACGTTCCAGAAAAAAGTCACAGATCCCTGGGTGGCACAAGGGATTTACACTCATCTTCTAAAGGTCAGAGTTTGGAACCCATCCAGCAGTGCTGCAGAAGAATGGGCTGGTGACCTACTCACATAATTATTAGAACCAAGGAAACTCTATGGAACAGTTCTCTTTAACACATTGGGGTCATCATGATATGGAGTCCACTCAATGATAGCAAGTTTATTTTGTTTATTTGCTTGTATTTTCCAGTCGGCCTTTACTGCCAACTTGTAGGAAGAAGTGTTGGCTTACTAAACGATCTCTTAGATTATTAAAGATTATGCATTACTTGTGCAACAGTGAATGAATAGAAGTCCAAGTTCTCTATAGATTTTCATTAAAATCTCAACAAAAAAAGATTGTTTAAAAAAGATTATGCATTACTTTAGTCTGGCGCAGAATGTGAAAACTGTAATAATAAAGTCTTAATAATATGCATTTTTCCTGCTAGTTGATTTCCTTTTTCTCCCTTCAGAGATAAAATTGTTACTCAGTTTATTCAACAATATAATCTGAATGTTGTTGTGTACTGTTGTGTTGGATCCCACTAACAGCTGGCCCTCCAGGTGCGTTTTCAAAGGCACTTAACCTTGACAGAGCAAAGCCATTTCCCTTGATGATCTTTATCAGCTAACAGAAGTGGAAGTTCTTTTAGAATGATAACAAAAGTTCTAGCTCTGTAATCTAAGATAAGAAAAGGGCATAAAAACATAAGAACTCTAAAACTCTATGTTTTGCATTTCTCTCCCTACATGTTTACATATAGTTTCCTTGGATTCTCAAAGTTTACAAAACAAAGAGATAAAGCTGCATTTTACAGAATTGGAAACTGAGCCTCAGCAATCTCCTCTCAAGATCACTCAGCTCGTGACCTGGGAGTCTGACCTCAAAATGTCAAAGCAGAAATCCTCTACCTACTCCTTCAGTTTAGTATCTGCTGAGAGTTAGAGACAGATCTGATATGGCAACGACTATTCTCAACATTACTGCCTTCGGAGATGTAGAATGTTTCTGTGGGTTCCTTCTCCTCAATAACCGAGAACACCTTAGGTAGAGCTTTTTACCCATCATCAGATTAGTTTGTGTATCACTGGAAGGTAGACAACAATTTATCTCATAGATATCCCCTTCCAGGGTCTCCTTCTGACTCACCTGACCCCACACATGGAGATGAATCCCGTTCTGTGTTAAGAGTATTTGATAATGCTGTTTTCTACTTTTTTTTTTTAAATGTGTGTACCGTCAAATCGGATTTGACTGGTACAGGAGGCGATCGTTCCACCTTCTTCAGCAGAGCATCTGGTGGATTTGAACCACGCACCTCTGGGATTGCAGTGCAGTTTTCTGCCACTAGGCCACCAGAGCTCGCCGGTAATGCTGTTTTCTATTTTAATCCTTCTCCTAGGTCATATAGCACTGGTCTGTCCACTTGCTGTATAGAGGTAATTCATGGTTTCTGTTAAGCTAAATATTCTGATGCTGATGTGTCAAATGTGATAATGGTTATCCATGGTGGACAGTGTTTGGTGGAGCTCCCAGATTAAGACAAGCTTGGAAGGAGAAATGGCATCCACTTCCGAAATAGCTGGCTTCTGGAACTCTATGAACATGGAGAAGAGATTAAAGATATACAAGCGTTATACAGGCCTTTCCTTCATAGGATCAATATGAGTTGCCTAGGACTTGATGGCACTTAACAGCAACAACTGTTATAGTTGTAGAGGGGCTTCAGGCCTTTTGTTCATAGGGTCGCAATGAGTCATGCTCCACTCAAAAGTAATCAGCAACAACAACAACAACTGAAAGAAACATTTTGGAATGTCACAAAGGATCTCTCCCTATTACTGCTCCAAGGTCTGGTCTTTCTCTCATCAGTGCACCCAAGTGCCATGGTCTAGGCACTTCTGGGTTGCCTCCAGGAGTGTCCTCACGGGTAGGTAGAGATTGTTGCCAGGATTTGAGAACTAACCTTAAAGACATGAATGAGTGAAAAAATGCGACAAAGGAACAGGAGTTGCAAACTTCCTATAGGAAAGAAGCCCTGGCTGATGAAACCAAGACAGAACCTCTGAATAATTCTATTGGAATAAATAAACCCTAGGGAACTCTGGCCTACTCATGAGAAACTGTGCTATAATCCCAGAGGCATGTGGTTCAAATCCCCCAGCTGCTCCATGGGAGAAAGATGAGCAATCGCCTCGCCTGTGATTAACTGTCTCCAAAAATCCACGGAGAGTCAGGTATAGGTCAGTTCCTACTCAAAGATACATAACAACCGGCATATGTAGGAAGAAGATTTCCAATGCAAGAAAGACACCTTGGTGCACAGGTACTACAGAGGAGGAAAACTCCTTAAAAAAAAAAATTAACTTTTCCTCTCAACAACTTAAACCCACTGTTTTGTGACTTTGATTACAATCCTCACATTGTAACATTTCTCTTTCCACTTCCTGTGCTTCTCATTTCTATTCATCCTTCTTTTCTATCCCTTCCTGCCTTCTAAAGTCTACTCCTAAGCAAATCCTGCCCTTTTGATCCTGTGTGTTAAAAAATGCTTTTCTTGGAAGAATTTGCTTTCCTCCTCTATGGAAAAATTTTTGAATGGGATCTTAGAGAGCAAACACACCCCTCATTTTATGATGAATAAGCTGAGGCCCAGGAGATGATTGGCACTGGGTGGTGGCAGGACTTTGGAGACACTTTGATAACATCCAGGGATTTTGGAACTTCTAGAAGAGAAGGTGGAGCAACTTCTGCCTCCCTTGTTTCTTATCGTTTGTTTTAAAGCTCCTAGCTCAAAAGGACAAATACTGCATACAACCATTATTGTAAAAGTAGAAGGATAACAAGTAAAACATGCATTCGGATGCAAGGGGGGAGAGCACAGGAGGAGTGTGGATGCGTAGCGGTGAAACACAATATGAATAAAGAAGCGTGTGAAACACAATGTATATGAACTTTATGAGCAAACTAATAGGGTCGCTATGAGTCGCAAACGACTCGACGGCACATAACAACAACAACAACAACAATA